GTGGTGAATGCTCCAACACTGGAAGTTTTTAAGAAGAGACTGGACAGCCATTTGTCTGAAATGGTATAGGGTTTCCTGCCTGAGCAGGGGGTTGGACTAGATGACCTCCAAGGTCCCTTCCAACTCTATTATTATTATTATTATTATTATTATTATTATTATTATTATTATTATTATTATTATTATTATTATTATTATTATTATTATTATTATTATTATTTACTGCAATCTTGAGGAATTAAAAAGTTCCTCTATTCCTCGCAAATAGCTAGAAAATGCACTCATTTCACACGCACGATCTAATCAAGAACAAGAGTTGTACATCTGACTCACTGACATAATTAATGAGTGCTACAGCAAAAACTGTAAAATATAGCTAAAATAATAAAAGTTTGGGAATTTAAAAGACTAAAGACAGAAGAAGGAATATTCAGAAAGTTGAACATGATTCTCAGCCTGTGAAGAAAAGCCTGCAGTGATACAAAGCAGCATCTCCACAGTCATGTTATCAAAATTCAGACACAACAACAACAACAACAACAACAACAACAATAATAATAATAATAATAATAATAATAATAATAATAATAAAGTTGGAAGGGTCCTTGGAGGTCATCTAGTCCAACCCCCTGCTCAGGCAGGAAACCCTATACCATTTCTGACAAATGGCTGTCCAGTCTCTTCTTAAAAACTTCCAGTGTTGGAGCATTCACCACTTCTGGAGGCAGGTTGTTCCACTGGTTAATTGTTCTGTCAGGAAGTTTCTCCTTAGTTCCAGGTTGCTTCTCTCCTTGATTAGTTTCCATCCGTTGCTTCTTGTTCTGCCTTCAGGCGCTTTGGAGAACAGCTTGACTCCCTCTTCTTTGGGGCATCCCCTGAGATATTGGAAGACTGCTATCCTGTCCCCCCCCCCTCGTCCTTCTCTTCGTTAAACTAAACATACCCAATTCCAGCAATTTCAGTATCTGGCATGTATATACTGTATGATGGTTGCAGCGTCCTGGGATCATGTGAACCCCCATTGCGACTTTCTGACCAGACTCACTTAACAACCGTGTTACTAACTTAACGTCTGCAGTGGCTCACTTAACAAGTGTAGCAAGAAAAGTCATTATATGGGGCAAAATTCACTTAAGAAAGGCTTCGCTTAGCAACAGAAATGGTAGCTTCCTAAGAAGGAGGGAGCACATTCCAGAAAGCGGGGGGGAGACAACAGGCAGCCTACACCGGAGCTGGATAGAGGATGGAGGAAGAGCGTTAGGATGGCGGCCATGATGTTTCGTGTTCCAGAGCAGACACGGTACTTACATGAGAGATATGGCCTGCAAATGTTTGACATGATGGCGCACTGGACGAGTGAGGCAAGGATGAATAGCGCTGCTTCACGGAGGAGGAACCCACAGTGTGTCCTGGTCCCTGCAGCTCCTGGAGAAGGAGATGCTTATGAATAGCAATAGCACTTAGACTCATTATACCGCTTCATAGTACTTTACAACCCTGTCTAAGGGGCTTACAGAGTCAGCCTATGGCCCCCAACAATCTGGGTCCTCATTTTACCAACCTCGGAAGGATGGAAGGCTGAGTCAACCTTGAGCCGGTCAGAATCGAACTCCTGGAGCGAGCAGTGAGTTAGCCTGCAGTGCTGCATTCTAACCACTGCACCACCACGGCTCAATAGAACAGGTTGTCATGGTTCCGACAGATGAAACTCTTCAAAGAACGCCGAGGCATTGTTTACCTTAAAGAATCTTTATTAGAGAAGCATAGCATCGGCACTAACATAATCGAAGCCAAAAACTGGATTCCCCTCCCCTGAGCACATAGTATCAAAGCACAATTCCCTCCTCCGATTAACAGTCATAAATTCTCCAATTAGTTTGAAATGTAGGCTTCCCCTCCAGTTCTCCAGCCCGCCAATTCTTATCACGGTGGTGGCGAACCTATGGCCAGAGGCGGCACTCAGAGCCCTCTCTGTGGGCACGCGTGCCATGCCCTGGAGATGGCAACCGTCCCTCTTCAACCAGCCGCCCGCTAACTTGCCGAGGTCCAAAGGCCGGATGCATCCCAGTACCCATACACTCACTGGCCTCTGTGGGCAGGGGCCGATGGCGTCAGGCAGCAGCTGCCCCGGCCCCTGCCTCGCCTTGCCCTGCGACAATGGCTCCCCTGCCCTGCCTCGCCTTGCCTTGCCTCACCCTGCAGGACGAGCCTCCTGCCCACTGCCCCACCTGCCAGAGACCCCCTGGATTTCCCCCAACCCTGCCTGGCCCCCACAGGTATCCCTCCCCACAAGCAACATTGAGGTGATC